CTTGGGCTTGAGGAAGTCTTTGAAATAAGACCTCTCGCTTTGGTAACGGAAACTTGTCATCAGRGAGGAAATGGTTGAGTGGCTGGTAGTTTATAACCAGTCTCAATTTCCCTCGAACTTGTTCTGCTCTCTTGTTGACATAAAAAGCTTCACACYCCCATGGTGAAGTAGTCTTCTCAATGAGATCTTCCTTCTGGAGTTGGTTTACTTCTTCGAGTGCAAGATTGTAATGATCTAGGTTCATTCCAGGGTGGCTCGCCTTAGTCGGATTGACATCCTCATTTTTTTTTAAAGGTAATGAGATGAAGAAATCTGGATTCTTCCAAAGAGGCGAAGCGCATTTGGTCAGGAACTCTGAATGAGAGGTGGCGCATGAGGTTTTAGCAATCTCTTCCTTGATAGGATTAAGGATCTCCAAGGGGTATAGATGGGAGATTGAGGTCCAGGGTAAAACATGGTTTTTGTGTTTAAGACCTTTAGGGTGCCAAGACACTCTTTTGAGGCTGTGTAAGACATCAAATCCAAGTATAAAGTCTTTTCCCGGAAGATTAGACCCATATACTTTAGATTTAATCATATATCCTGGAAAGAGTTGGATATAGATGGGCTTACTAATAAGTGAGATGGTGAATGTCTGGCCATTAGCTGTTTTGAATGCCATCGAGCATGGTTCCCAATGAGAATKTGGAAGTATATKTGGCTTTATGATGGAAGATGCAGCTCRTGTGTCGAAATAAGCTATGACCGGTATGYGCTTGTCATATTTGCTGGGGAAAATGTAGATCTTTGCATTAGGAGATGATTGTGAAAGATATGCCAAACCCCTTTCAACTGGCTGCTCTACCTTGCAAATATCAAGCATATAGAGATCAAACTCCATAAATTGATCATCTTCCTCTTCTGTGTCAGATTCTTCAGTATTTTCTGACGAACTATCTTCTTGCTCTATTCCCATGGCTAGAATAGTGTCTTCTGTTGGTTCATCATCCAGCGAGAAGATGGACTCGACATKTGAGTCATCAATATCTTCAATTTTGGCTAGGTATCCCATGAGGTTGTCTCTTTTCT